CCTGAAAACTCTGGAAACAAGTAAAAGTTGGACGACGTACATAAAAGTTTCATTTTCTGTAATGCAATCATTTTTTTAAAAAAAGAAATACTTTTTCTTGCTTTTAAAATAACAACAGGAAAAAAAACAAAAGGGAAAAAAAGCCACAGAGATACACACATTGTCAAAAACCAAAAACCAAAAACAAAAAAAAAACCCCCAGGTGCTTAAGAATGACAAAAACATAACAGAAAAAAAAGATGTTTAAAAATTACAAGTTTAATTCTTTCACATGGTCTTTTAAAGTCTGGTCCAAAAAGCCAACCTCTGTCACCACTTACTTCCAGCTTACTTCCAAAAATGTGGGGACATTTGCAATAAGACTCAAGGTCACTGGCTTTTTTTTACACACAAGGACAGACAAATTGATGGGACTAGCCTGAAGGCCCATATATCATATAAACCTCCAAACAACCTTCTTCTTTAGGACGACCATTTGTTTCAAGTATATTAATTCTGGACACTTTAGCTATGGGATTCTGGAAGCTATATTCCCAAGGCACATGGACACATCAGGTTAAGGACATATATATGGAAGTGTGAATAAAAGATAATATTTTGTAGCTCGGGGTTGAAATGCGGGGTCCTTGGTGTTCTCTGATCTTGGCTGTTGTGTAGCAGACGTTTCATGACCCAACTAGGAAACATCATCAGTGTTAAGATGGAAAGGGGTGTGCAGGAGGAGGGGGAAGTGGAGGAGGAGGAAGTACCGTGGGGTCCTTGGTGCGCTCTGAATTTGGTTGTTTTCTAGCAAACATTTCATGACCCAAGTAGGAAACACCATCAGTGTTAAGATGGAAAGGGGTGTGGAGGAGGAGAAGGAGGAAGAGAAGGAGGAGGGAGTACCGTGAGGTCCTTGGTGGTCTCTGAACTTGGTTATTTTCTAGCAAACATTCCATTACTCAACTAGATACCATCATCTATGCTAGAAGGGAGTTGGATTTGCTCTGATATGGTGCACTTTCCTACTCATCTTTTTTTCCTCCTTTGTAGTTCCTAGATTACGGTATTGCTTTCCGCTTGATTGTTTCTGATGTTAATCCCTGCTTATCTGGATGTTGCTCGCGGGAATGGATGCATTGTAGCCTTAAACAGGGAGCAAACCTCACTAGCCGTGGTGATATTACCTAGTTTGGGTAATGGAACATCTGCAAGGAAAAAAAAAACCCAAGTTCAGAGGGTACCAAAGGAGCCCTCATTGGATAAAGAGCCCCTCCTTGGGGCAGATGGACAGTTCAGAAATTGGAAATATATAAGACACGAAACTTTCAGCCATTATTAGAGCAATGTCTATCATTTCTTCGTTGGGGTGTGTGTTTGTGTCTGCGTACGCGCAGTATGAAGCTGGGGACCAAAGACAGCTCTTCTTTCAAGCAAATATTTCCATTTTGATATAAAAGCCCTCCTTATCCACCCCCCACCCCCCCAATGCTTGTCTTAGATGCCTGCACCCATCAACCCACATATCACAATACATTTTTCTTCTTCTTATTTCTGGCTTCATTCACCATCTAACCCAGCCACTCTGGTTCATGAACCATGGTTCATGTTGAACAAACCACGTTGAGAAGGACTCACTCCTTACCGAGTCAGCCAATGACTTCTATTTTTGCCCTTTCCCAAAAGGGACGTGTCCAAAGCATCTCTCCATCCTAGCCTTGAAGAACCTTTCAAGGTGTCTACAGAAGATTCTCAGTCCTCCAGATCACAGTTGTCCCAAAAGTGCTTTTTCCCCCCCCAAAAAGGCATAATTGCCCCCCCCCAAAAGGCAACTGGACTTAGATTGGGTTTTTTTTCCCCCCTTTGAAAAAGTTTTGCTTCTTCTAGTAGTTTCTTCAATCTGAGGTTGCAACTGAAGAAGCTTCTTGGAGGAGAAGTGAAATGTTTTCAAAGAAAAGAAAGTAAAACACCAAGAAAGTCCAGTTGCCTTTTGGGGAAAAAATAACACATTTTTTTGGGGGGGGGGGACACCCCCTCTTTCAAGATGTTCGAAGAGTTTCCTCCACTTTTCTTTCATCATGAAAACAAAACACATCGGTCACAGAGCCTGACTCACTATGGCTGGGAAGTTCCCACTCCTTTCCTGACCCAGAGATTATAGCAGAGAACAAACCAACTGTCCAAAGGTCAGGACATTTAAGCTGCAGATACTAGCTCTCGGCCTCACAATCGGGAGGCTGTGCGTTCGATCCTAGGTATAGAGGCAGATATTCCTCTCTCTGGGCACATAATGAGAATATATCTGTTGAACAAAACTCCGCTCTGGTGACAGGAAGGTCATCCGGCCAGTAAACACTTTGCCGGCCCCGACTCCACCCCGCAAGGGATTATGGGGTCGTTAAAAGAGGATGATGACGATTTAAGCTCCCAATACTGAGCTCAGAATGAAACTGCTGAGGACTCTCTATTTTTTGACATTTCTCCCTGCACCCCACCATATAAGAATCTCTTTGTGCCCTGCTGAAAAATCAAGACAGACAAATCGCCGTGTTCTGCCCCAAGGTGCCAACCAAAATGGGCCAAAAACATGCACAGGCTGGGAAGAACATTGGATGCCCACAAAGGCACCACGGCTGGCAGCAAACCTTGGATTCCAGCCGGAAGAGAGGACTTAATCCACCCAAGGTTTCACTCCCCTCCCCAGGATCTGCCCAAGTTTCCTTCTCTCTTTTCAGTGTCAAAAATTAGACCGATGGAGCCGGTCTAATCATACGCTAAGCAAAACACCGATGCCACCGCGCTCCGTTGTTCGACAGGGAAAAGAAAACCTGGAAACTGGCTGGGTCCTGGCAGACGGTTCTCCCAAGACCAACAAGGCAGCATTTAAGGGAATCTCTCTTGCCATTTTCGGCACGCACCATCTAAAGAGTTGGGGAGACTGTAAAGGCCAGGATGGTCCCTGTTTGGCCAGAGATAAATAGGAATAATTGCATTAAGGTGTTCAGGACAGTTTGGGGAGGGGGTGGGGGTAAGCTTGTGCTACAACTGGGCATCGTTCAGACCAGTGGAGGCGGGATTGGATCTTAGGTTTCTCCTTTAGCATTGGACATGATCCAATTCCTTCCTTCCTCCCTCCTTCTCCTCTCCCTTCTTTTTCCTCCCTCCCTCTCCCTTTCCCTTCATCTTTTCCTGTCCTTCCTTCCTTCCCTTCCTTCTCCTTCCTCTCTCTCCTTCTTGTCTTCCTTCCTTCCTCCTCTCCCTTTCCCCCTCACTCTGCCTCCCTCCCTCCCCCTTCTCCTCCCTTCCTTCCTCCCTCCTACTCCTTCCTTTCTCCCTCCTCTCCCTCCCTCCCTTTCCTCCTACTTCCTCCTTCTCCTTCTCCTTCTCCTCTCCTTCTCCTTCTCCTTCTCCTTCTCCTTCTCCTCTCCTTCCTTCCCTCCCTCCCTCCCTCCCTCCCTCTGAAAAATATACTTCCTTCCAGCCTTCCTGGCTTGTTTTGCATTAAAATATTATCTTACTCAGATCACAGCTGAACAAAAAGTGGAGGGAGAGGATGGCCTGTTTTTTTTTTTTAAAAAAAACCAAATTTGTTTATTTTTGCAAGTCCCCACAATGGTGCCGAGTTTCGTTACAGTGTGGGCTATGAATCTGAGATCACTGCTGAAAATAGAAATAACCTGGGGAGAGAGAGAGAGGAAGGAAGTTTGGAAGGATGAGGTAGAGATCGGCTGGTTTCCATTCCACAATCTTCGGAAGAGAGACTGTGTTCCTTTATGACAAATAATAGATAATTCCACGAGGCCCCCCCAAGAGCCGACACTATCAATTAAGCATACAGAAGAACGCATCCAATATTTAGCGGTACAGGTAGTGCCCCCCCCTGCCCAACTGCCTTGTTTAATGACCATTCAAAGTCACAAAGGTTGGGGGGAAAAATCCACTTTGCCACTTATTCTTTGCATGCATGGCCCTTGGTGGCATCCTACGATCGTGCAATTGTCCTTGGCGAGCTTCATCGAAGTTTGAAGTTACAACAGCGCTGGGAAAAAAAAACACTAATTCACCGGTCCTCGCACTTATAACAGTTGCAATGTCCCCATGGCCATGTGATCAAAATTTGGGCACTTAGCAAGACGCAAGGGATGGAAACTCACCAAGGAGAGAAGCAACCTAGAACTAAGGAGAAATTTCCTACCAGTGAGGACAATTAACCAGTGGAACAGCTTGCCACCAGAAGTTGTAAATGCTCCAACCCTGGAGGCTTTTAAGAAGAGACCGGACAACCATTTATCTGAAGTGGAGCAGGGGGTTGAAGACCTCCAAGGTCTCTTCCAACACTGTTTATTCTATTCTATTCTATTCTATTCTATTCTATTCTATTCTATTCTATTCTATTCTATTCTATTCTTTCTTCTATTCTATTCTAATATTTTCTATTCTATTCTATTCGATTCTATTCTATTCGATTCTATTCTTTCTTCTATTCTATTCTTTCTTCTATTCTATTCTAATATTTTCTATTCTATTTTCTATTCGATTCTATTCTATATTCTATTCTTTCTTCTATTGTATTATTTTCTATTCTATCTTTTCTATTCTATTCTCTTTTGTATTCTCTTATTTTCTATTCTATGCTATTTTCTATTCTATGCTATTTTCTATTCTATGCTATTTTATGCTATGCTATTCTATTGACCAAGGAGAGAACCAGAGGTGGTCTTCAGCTGGTTCGGATCAGTTCTGGAGAAGCAGTAGCAGAAATTTTGAGTAGTTCAGAGAACCGGCAAATCCCACCTCTGACTGCCTCGCCAACCCCATCTATTCTCTGCCTCCTATTGAGTCCCAGCTGATTGGCTGGGTCTTCTTTGGTTGCCCTGCACAGGAGAACGGAGCTGGAAAGCAGGTTAGTGGGGGCGGGGAGGGAATGGGGATTTTGCAGTATCCTTCCCCTACCACGCCCACCAAGCCATGCCCACCAAGCCATGCCCACAGAACCAGTAGTAAAAATATTTGAATCCCACCACTGCCTTTATGGTTCCCGGAGAAATGACTGGCTCAGCACGGAAGGAGATCAAACTGGAAGCAACCGAGGGGACAACGTCGCTCAGATCCAGGAGTTGCAACATCTGTTTTCTAGGGCGAAGGGAAAGGCTGCCTCACTGCCTCCAGAGACCTTAGAGGCCACGCGCTCAGCCCCGCCGAGAAACGGCACATCTTAATTTGCAATTAATGAATGCAACGTCAGGGGTTTTCAATGCAGGGTATAGAAGGTTGGAAGGAGGCGTGTTTGGGTTTTATTTTCACAGTCGTAACGTCCGCCGAAGATGGCATTTCATTTCGTTGTACGGGGTGCAACGACAATCCAGTAAAAACTAAACTAAACTAAAACCCAACCGTTTCAAACTTCCTCTTTTTCGACGACCGGAAGGGAGGGAGGGAGGGAAGGAGGGAGGGGATGAATCAGATAACAAACGTGGGAGGCGGAGGGTGATGTCATCTTTATATCAAGAACACATTTTCGGCAAAAGACAGAATGGCCGAGCCATTGTTCGATACCTAAAGGCACAGGCGGTTTTTGGCCTTTGTCTTCCTAGGGGTCTTTGGTGCCCT